CCGGACTTCGAAGTGGCCTGGGCCCCGCGCTCTCGCGGTGCGTGGAGAGGGCTTGCCCGGAGGTTTTCCTGACAGCTGCCCCCTCCCTGCCTTTATTCCCGGGTTTCCCACGGTGTGAGGGCGTGGGGGTGGGACCCGCCCGCGGTGCAGACCCAGCTGCGGGCCCGCACGTCAGAGCTGCCGTCCTTGTCTCTCTGTCCTGCTTCTGCCCAAACCTTTCCCGGTTTCTGTTTGCCATCCTCACACCTTGCGTGTAGGCACTGCATGTCACATTCAAGATTTCACTTGCAGAAAGAGTAATTTCCCTAATACAGAACAAACAGTCCCGCCCTTTACCCGCATCCTGAGCCGGGTTGAACCGTGTCCATCCCACCCGCCCGCGTCCGCTGCACGGCGGGGTCGCGCGGCCCAGTGGACATTGGAGGTTTCAGTGCGCTGCGCCGCAGACCTTCGACCTCTCTCGCCTGGACAAATGTGTTATGAGTCTTGCGAATGGAATGAGCGGTTGGGGTGGGCCCTGCACCTGCTGACGGAGCGGGGCCCACTTTCCGCTATAGCAACTGGACTTGAAAGAGGCAGCTTTGGGGACAACAAATCTCTTTTGCAGTTGTGTCCCACTGACTCACCCTGCCCATATGCCATAGGCAGTTGTGCTGCCCAAGTGTGTAAAAGCTTTTCAAACTGGCTTTTTTCGAACCCTCACTTTAATGCCAGGAAAAAGTGAGACAGGTTAGCAAATCAAATAATCCTGGAGCCCAGAATGTTAAAAAGAACTTTTTTTGCAGTGCACTTAGTGGTGGTTATATAATTCCCTTTGAACAAACAAATGCCCCCTAAAGAAAATAAATGTGGGAAGTCCTTTTTCATGGTAATGGGTGTCCCAAAATAACATAGAGAAATGTGAAACAGAAGTACCTTTAAATCTGTGGCTTTCCTAGTCTATTAAACGAACCTATTTAAGGAGACTGAGTTATTTTGTCACCGTCACCTTACAAGTAAATATGAAGAAGAGAACATTTAAAAGGCCGGCAAAATGAGCCTCCGTAAAATCCTTCAAGAGAAGCTGATCGTAGAAGTGGAGAGAGGAATCCTGAGAGTGGGGCACTCTCTCCAGCCCCAAACTGAGTAGCAAGATTCAAAGGAGGGTCGCCTTCTTACTGCCCTGCGGAGCTCTGATTGGCCTTCACGTTTGAGTTGCAACAGAAAACTGAGGACTTTTGCTGTGGACATGACAAGAAAACATGAAATTGTTATTACTGATGCATTTTATTCTTTCATATCTACAGCATCTGATTTGCTTGTTTGGACTTCTTTGTCCAAGACATGTAGGCATATTATTTTTAACTTCTATTTATTATTCTCAATTATTTTATCATTTGTTGTTTGTTGATGATTTTAGTGAAGAGGCATCGAGAAAATATCAGTGTGTTTATATTTTTCAGACAAGAATTACATGTTAAAATAATAAGCTATTTTGTGTTAAAATCTGAGGAAAGAAACAGCATTAGGTTTTTGAATACTTTATATAATTTCCATGTATTGCTTGCCCATCATAAAGGATAGATATTGCTGTGAAATTTCTGGCTTTAGTACCTTGTTGGTGGCAATCGGATTTTGTTGGCTCTTCACTGAAATTACCGTTTCTTCTCCGTACCGTCTCCTCTGTTGTGTGAGAACGAGGCTGTGTCAGCACCGTGCGGGAGGGAAGTCTGTTTTCTATCCGATACTGCAACGGTCGGTTATAAAATCAAACTTTCAGTAGGCTATCATTTTCCCACTTAGTACTGAACAACTGGTGTGATGAATTTGTTGTTGTTGTTGTTGACTGAAACTACCACTCCTTCTTGTGTAGAAACAGGTTAGACTGGGTACAATTAATTAAGGACATTTCACATTATAAAATACGGCCTACCAACACCCTTCTTGAGGATTACGGAAGGGAAAGGTAGGCTGGCGAATATATGTTCACTAATGGTATATTTGACTAAATTATTGATAGTTATCTTTGTTAAAACACAGATACACATTTTTACTTGGGTTGAAATTATATGTTTTTATTAGTTTGCTTAAAACATTAATGACTAACTTCAGTGTCTGGGAAAAGTAATCTTTTAGGAAGCAGGTTGTGTGCAAAAAATAACGAGTCAGACTTGATGTGACTTTTAGGGAGTTTTAGAGCTCAACTGAAGTGTAATAACTGACAAAATATTCTGGAACACAACGGTGAATTGCCTTTTGGTGAAGTTTTAAAATGTATTTAAGGCCATACTTTACACGTTTACTTTTAGTTTGTTTGAACATTTGTGGGAGCCATCCCAGTAGTCCGTTGTTAGGGGCTACAGGGCTTAGTTTTCCATTGGGCCTTATATCGATAAGGGACAGAAGGCTGGGTATTTGTCAGGATAATGCCTGATTTTTTTCCTATGGAGGAAAGAAATATTTCTGTGGAATAGAATCATCTCCAGTGACATGAAATGTCAGAACAGCTGGTGCATTTGATCAATGGCTGCATTCAAGTAGTTTGCTTATGTAAAAATCAGTGGAAGTTTCCTGATTAGTTTCATCAAAAAGTAGGCTTCATGTAGACATAGCTGTTATTCATTTCTCTGCATAAATTTGTATTTATTCAATCAAGTTATTAGACTAAGAAGAAATTTTAAAAAATTAATCGAAGTGGGTAACTTGAGCTACTGTAGTACTGTCGACACCCAATGTAATGTTAAGTATAGAAGCCTGCTACTCTTGGTAGTAACATGGGCCAGCCACAATAACATTCTGCAATAAACCCTCATAAGCATGCAAATATTAAGGAAATACTAACCACTGTACACCATAATAAGAAGCTTAGGTTTTTAGACCTTTTTGCTTTTGGCTAATGTTTTAGAGAATGTGTTTACACTCTTTCAAATGGGAGCATGTATAATTATATGTTACGTGAAAGTTTCCCAACTTAATTTGAGCAATATTTTTAAAAGACATTACCTCTGGGCTCTCTTTATCTTGGCGATTCATTTAAGAATGTCAAAGTTAGGGGTCAGTGTAAAGTGGAGAGTAGACCTAGGAATTTTATTCTCTTGTAATTATAATTTTTACTAATAAATTAGAGGAGTTGTATATTTCTTTGTCACAGTATCACATAATCTCAAAGCATTTTTGTTATTTCTTAGTGCTTGTGTGAGAATGATGGAACTGAAGTGTGATGACAATCTGGTTTAAAGGTTTTTGTAAATGTTAAGTCTCCTCTACCTCCAGGAACTCCAGCCTGCAGTCCCTCCTGTGTTTTCTCATGATCTCCATTGCACAGGTAGAGAGGATCATTACTGGATGGGACCGTGACCCAGGCAATGAGTGACAGCCCCCACGTCTATGCACACCTGAATTCTATGAACTCTTTGTAATTTGGAAGCTGGAAAATGAAGTCATTATTTGTGCATACCCAAGAGTGCTCCCATAATTACTGAGAAAACAATGATTATAGGATATACACCATAATAAGCAGTTTAGGTTTCTAGGCCTTTTGTGCTTTGTTATTAAATTCATGATTAAATTTAATTTTTCAATTGGTCAACAGTTTTAAAAAAGTGAGCAGAAATATTTGATACTAGAGTAATGTTTAGGTCAAAGACATGCAGATCTGAAATATAGTAATACTTCGTTCTGATTTAGGCTTGAGCTCAGTTAAAAACGTTTAACAGAGTGTGTATTTATTATGTGGTGTTTCCCTACATCCCTTCATCCTCTCCCCATCCACATTTAATTATGAAGTCTGTGGATTTTATTTGTTGGATAATTTTAGTTATACCTTTTTTCCAGTTACCATATACTGTAGCATATGGTACACACTGAAGGCTTTTACATATTTGTATCTTTGTACGTTTTTCTACTTAAAATACTATATTTAATATTGATTTACATTATTGATATGTATTGATATATTGATAATATACCTTTTTGTGGTTTCATGATTTTCATTTATTGTTATAAATTTTAGTTCTCACACCCCCCCCCCCATTTTGTACATTTGTGTTCTCACTTCCTCTTCATCCATTGAGCGTTTCTGTATTGAAACATCGTATTTGGCTTTTGGTACCTGAATTGATGGGTAGCATATATCACTTTTCCTTCATGTTTCCATAATTCTTTTTCACCTGTCTCATCCTGGAGTAGTATTAAACTTTTTTCTTATGTATACTTGGTGTGATTTCAGTTGCTTATTGCAAAGCTACTGATAGTCATTGCTTTCAAGACCTAGTGCTATTTATTCTAGTGTTTGCTGTGTACCCTGGTGTGACAAAAGACAATTGGTGTCCAGTTGGATTATATGCAATCCGTACTGCCTGTCTCAGGGACTGTCCCTATGCTTCTGAGCAACCCCTCTAAAGAAAGATGGCTCTTCCCAGCCACGAGATACTCCGTGGCTTTTCAGGTTTTAACATGGTCCCTCATCAGGTGGTGAGCTGCTGCTTGCCAGGGCCATGTCTTCTACAGGCCAAGTCCAATTAGAATAATCCCCCAGCTAAAAACATTTCTATTAAAAAAAGAAAAAAAGAGAAAAAGCTTTTTAAGCAACTGTCAGAATATATTTTACTTAGATACATTTGATTACACAGATTCCTAAATGCTTTTGCACAAATACTTTTATAGATCCAATTCCCACCTCCACCAAACCAAGCCATTTAAGAAGACACCGATGGACTTCAAGAAATTGTTGAAGTCCTTATCCCTTAAGAAAATGACCCAAATCTCCCCTGCCCCCATCTTCTCTCCGGGGTGCCATGCAGTGGTCACTGCCCAAGAACCCCCATGAGGAGCCCTTGCCTGAGGGACACTCTCACTTCCCCCAGACTGGGGCGGCCAGAGCACCTGCTGTCCTTTCTCCGTGGAGACCTGTGGACCTGCCCACACCCCCACTGTGTGCAGCTGAGGGGTAAGTGGCCTTCTGGGCCCAGCAGGGTATCCTTCCCTGATTCAGAATGCCTTCTGCTCCTTTGCTAATCCTATTAGACTTTCTCCTATCAAAGGCAGAGAGGGAGAGTTAGTGGAAAGAGCATTGGCTCAGAGATAAGAAGATTTGGGCCCTGGTGCCAGTTGTGCAAGATTAAACTTACCTGCAGCATCTGTAGGCCCATCCCGGCAGGGCCCCTCCGCGTTCACCCAACCCAGGGGTGTGTGGTAACACTCCCCCGCAGGGCGAAATGTTCTCCGTCAGTGCTGCCCCAACAGAGACACCACGTGGCTGGTGCATTGGAGGAACTGAATCTTTCACTGTATTTCATTTTCATCCACTTAAATTTAAATAGCCGTATGTGGCCGTGGCAGTGGATGGGAGGCTCCAGTCTCTGGTTTTGTCCGTCTCCGTTTGACCTCGCCCAGGTCTCAGGCCTTCTCTCTCACCTTGGCCTGGCAGGCTTTTCTCCTTCTCTCCCAGAAGGACGCCTGCTTGTTCTTCCAGCTGCGGCGGGGCTGCCCTTCCAAGGCCTTCTTCTGGGACTCGCTCTCTGGTGGCCCTGTGCTTTCCCCTGTAAGAAACCCGCACACAGGATTAGGATTTTCCATTAGCTTGTCCTTCTGACCCGCTGAATTCTGAGCTCCTTGGAGGTAGGGATGTTACTTTGTAGGTTTCTGTGTCATTGGTTTGTGGCCTGTGCTACAGTTAGAACAACCTCTGCTTCCGGTTGGTTAGAGCAGGGAGTTGGATAAGATGATCTTAAGACTTGTGAGCTCAAAAATCATCTGATTCAAAGTATTCCCACAATATTCTAGATCCTTCCTTCAAAAAAATCAACTTTCTTAAATTGCTGTTTGATCTTGTTTTTGCCAGACTATATGAGAACAGACGGATCAACTGGCACTAAATTATTTGGAACTGATATGCTTTGACATGGCTTGCCAGCCTTGCAGCCCGGTTCTTTGCAGATTTGGGAGGTGTTAAGAGGTATTATTTTGAGGAACATAAAGTGTTAGTGCCTTAAAGAGGAGATAGTTGTCTCTCCCTCGTAGCTAAAAGTCCACACCGGCATTCAGGGCTGGTACCGAGGCGCCACGTTATCAGGGACCAGCTTCTTTCTGTCTGTTGCTCTGCCTTGGCAGGCGTGTGGCCTCCATCTGCTCCAGCCCTGCCTGAGGCCCGATCCGCAGTCACACAGATCCCTTTGCTCATGTCCCCTCGGCCCAGCCGTAACCACATGATCATTAAGAGCAGCATGGAGGCAGAGGGACAGAGACCTTCGCCAACACGATTGCATTGCTGACTGGGGAGGGCCAGGTGAGGCGTTGGCATAAGTGGGCAGATGGGTAGGTCAGCACATGGCTCCCCTCCCTCCCATCAGGGTCCTGGGAAGGGCTGTCCCTGGCAGTTCCTGGTTCTCTGAAAAGCACGTCCTGAGTTTGCTTCTGAGCGTACTCACAGACAGTTGTCTGGGATTCCACAGCGTGGCCGTGGGTGCACTTGATGCAGGCCTGTCTAGAGGCTGGGTTCCAGAGCGCAGTCTCCCTGCAGTCCTGGGCACGGAGAAGGTGCACGCCCTCGAGGCCTGTGTGTGTCCAGGAAAGCACTGATCTCCAAAACCAGCCTTTGGAATTCCAAGGGGAGGAAGCCACAGGTAGACTTTAATCCCAAAGGTGGGCCATAACCAGGGCTTTGTTTGTAACACCCTGTTGCAAACAGGGTGCTGATGTTCTTTGCTTGCATTGTGTCTGTTCTCCTTGTCCACGCCTGGCCACTTCCGCTCATTCATAGCAGGTGCCCTCCTGCAGAGGCAGGAGGGAGGATCCCTTGCCCGGGCCCTCAGAGTAGCCCCTGGGAATGTGGAACTCTCTCCCTTCCTGCTGGCTTGGGGGAGTGGGTGAGTGGGAGGGAGCTTGCTTAGGATGTTGAGGAAGCCTCATCTTAAGTGCTGTGTGGCCTGAAGAGTCAGAGACCTGGAAGAGGAGAACTACCAAGTATATTGACTTTATAATTACATGTAAATAGCCTGAGCAGCTAAACACTTAAGTGGCAAACTAAGGCTAAGGAATGTGAAGGGAAAACCAGCTGTATGTGAGCAGATAGTGCGTGCATGTGTGTGTGGGAGTGGGCATGAAGTTAAAGCTATCTTCCAGCACTTGGCAAAACTGCACATCCCCGAATCAGTTCTGGCTGGTTTTTTCTTTTACAACCTTAATGGCTTGGCAGTTGTATATAAAATAGTCTTGGGTGAGAGTGATAATATAGCCGACATGTATCCTTTTGTTCATGTGGCTAAATTTTTTAGTCTAAATATAGTTTCGTTAGCTAGAACCCCTTAATTAAGAGCAAAACCCACTAATATTCAATGCACAAACCATTAGAGGGGAGACTGACTGCAGCCAGGGTCTAGACATTGGCCACTTGGGACAGCCCCTCCTGGGATTTCCCATTGCTCTGCCAGCCCACATCCATCCTGCTGTCTATAGTTATCACAGAGAATTGGTTTTGGGTGGAATTGAAAACTTTCTCCCTCCTACTCTGCGCCCAAACAACTTATTGCATCATAATGGTTAACAGTGTTTTAACAATATCACACATGGGAAGAGTGAATTGTGAATCTCCTACAAGAGCCAAATCACCCAAGTGGATTTAAAAATGTTAATTGGGGTGCTAAGGTCTGTTTCTCGTGGTTTAAAAACCCCCTAAATGGCTACGCTTTACCACTGCTCAGATGTATTCGATTGGTTCCAATGGAGCAAGCCATGGTCAAAGACTGTGTCCTGAATGAGGTTAGTGTGTGAATTTCACAGCATTCAGGAAAGTAATGAAAACTAATTTGGAAATTAGACTAATTGAAATTGAAAAACACTGAAAAAATATTTTAATTTGGAATATTTCCTTGTAAACTTTTTACTTACCGTAATGTTTCACATTTTTGGGATGATGATTTTTTTGGTCATAAATGTTTCTAAAAAGAGGGAACAAAATTGTTCTCCACAAGGACTTGCCTTATTTCTGCGGTTTAGTCACTTGTCTGATGGCATTTTCTAGCTGCCTGTTGCACACCAGGAGGTTTGAACTCCCATCGAGGCCCCCTGAAGTTGGCAGGACAGCAGCTGTCCTCCCCAGTTCATAGGTGAGATTGTCCCATGAAGGTCTCTTGTCCAGTGTCCAGCTCCTCAAGCTGTGGTCATCTTGCTATACCACGTGGAAGCGTGGAACTCAGCTTCCAAAGCCTCCTTTGCCAAAGCCACCTTTCTGGCTCCCTGCAGGGTGGCAGATGATGTTGTTCCCCCGTATCTGAACTGCCTGAATTTCTCATCAGAATTTTGCTAAAAAATAGTCCACTTGCAAACATCTATACAACTTAATCCGCATATTGGACGCTCCTTATATTACCTGTTTCATTGCAGCAGTGCACGAGTACGTGCATTGCTAGGATGCAGACCTGCTGAGACTCTTAGGGGGGATTTTATTTTTTGAAAGAAATATGTGGTGTTTGATAGGAGAAGACCAAAGTCAGCTGTTGTTGAGCATAGTTAAAGCATTTATGAATTAATATAAGGAGTCAAATCCAGATTCTTCCCTCCTCAAAGCAAGATGTTCTGCCTTGATACTGGCTTATGAATTAATAAACGTTTAAAAGCCTCCCTTTTGTACTGCGTGTTGACTCAGCTCACTGTGTCTTTGGCTGATAAATTTAATGAAAGTGCAGAGCTCTGCTTTGCCCAATAAATGAGCTTCCTTCAAAGTAGGAGCTACAAGGAATCCAGACCTTCAGATTTGCTAATTGTGTTTTCTCCTGGTAACCTTAGGCAGCCCCTGCTCCCAGCTGTGAGAGCCTGTCTAATGAGCTGGTGGATTCTTTAACTGCCTCATCCTCTTCCCTGCAGGTTGGTGGGCTCTGCTGGCTGGGACGTGCTGGGCACTACACTCATTGGCTATCACAGGTGCTTGTCTGCAGCAGGGACAAGCTGAGCATGGAGAGAAGGGAGCCCTGGTGTATGAGGAGCTGCTCAGAGGTTCACGTGCCTGGCGTTGCTGTGTTCCTAGAGCCCCCTTGTCAGTGTTATGCTTGCACCAAGAGACACTGACCCTGGGGTGGAGGCAGCGCTGTGTCCATGCATCAAGTACGATGCATTTGGTGTATTAAGCACCCACTTGCCCTTCAGTTTGTGGGCTGTTTAGTGCTACGAATGTCCCACATGTGTTCTTAGCTCTCCCAGGGCGTATGCAGTGAGACATCCCTCGATCAATTTTATTTTTTTAAAAAAACTTTGTTTTAATCGCTCTTACAAAAATATTTACCCCTCTCATGTTTTACCTACCGGTGCAGAATCCTCTCCTGTCAGTTATAACTGATTGTCATAAATGACGTGCACAGTTGGAAGAATATACCTTTTGTCTCTTTAACTATTGGTCTGTAGAAAACACTGATTTTTAGACAAGGGCTCTGAACGGCAACCTCAGAGGAAAATTATATGTTTCAAATGTTTTCTTGATGTTTACTTTTCATTTTCTGAATCCAAAATTATGCAGTATCCTTATGGTCCTGGTAAGACCAACTGAGGAGCCTAATGGGAAGGAACAGCTGGCTCCTTTGTAAACTGAACTGGCTTTGATGATAAGTCCCTGTGCCCTGAGGGGTATGCACTTGATTTGCATAACATTTTTAGGTAGGTAGGCAATGCTTTTATTGATATAATGCTAAATATTCTTTGACATGAAAATATCAATGCGTTTGCATTTATTTTATACAAATGAAAGTGCAAGAAGATTTTCCACAGGCTGTGCTTGCATCCCCCTTGGTTTTGTCACGAGAGGGGTGGGGATGTGCTCCCAGGGGCCTGACCATTTGCAAGCACTCTGCCCACTGCTGTGCTGAGGGTTTTAGTCTTCAGAGCAGTAGGATGCAAAGACCTTCACCTGCATTTTCTGCCACAGGGAGCCACATAACTCTGAGGGGTTGTTTAGAGATGGAGATACCAGGATTACCGGTTTTATGAGGCAGAGAGATGAGGAGTGAAAGGACCTATTGGGTTGCCTGCCATACAGTAATAGTTCCTCTTTTTTTCCTATTATTTTTCTATTACTGTTTTTCTATTAATAATCCATCAGTCTGGACCAAGAACATATAATAGACATGAAACACTCTCCTGAGACCTGTTTCTATGGAAACTTGCACTGCATTTCCAGTTGGAAATACTACTGTTACCATTGTGTTTTCTTATGGTAGCAATGCAGCCAGTGCTACCTTGATAGGAAACTAATGATGATTGTAATTACGGAAGGAATCGGTTAGTTTAAAACGAATATAATAAGAATCATAGCTTGTATTCATAAATCACATTTGAGATGTTGTAAACACAAGCTTGTACCAGGACCAGGAGGGTCACGGGAATGATGACGTAATGTGTTGGGCAGGGACGATTGGGGGCTACTAGGAGAACTAATGGGGACCTTGTCCCTCTTGAGGAGCTTTGCTAGAAAGCTGGGTGCACGTGGCACCTCACCTCAGCCCAGTGACCCCTACCCCATCCTGGTGACCTCTGCCTCACTGCTCCTAACAGA